AAGGGGGGATCCTGAGTCTGTTTCACTAGAACAGATTAAGCAAAGGTTAAATTCTTCCCCTGCTGAACAAAATCAGTACAAATGATTTTTTCTTTTAAATACCACACTAAAATGAGGTCAACTCAGTACAATTTAGAATCTTAGGAAAGACAATATGATGAACAAGAATCAAAAATACAATAAGTCCAAATTAATAGAGCAATCATAATATGATATTAAATTATGTGCTCAGAGATCTAAAGATATTATGAAACGAATTAAGAACATGTATTATGAAACAGGAACAAATTAGAGCCTAAGAATGAAATATATATATATATAAAATTCATGAAATTAAAAACTTAATTGAGAAGCTGGTAGTGGAACGGACAGAGCTGAAATAAAACCAGGATATGGAAGCCAGATACAGAAGTTCTAACAAACATAAAGAGGAAGAAATAACAGCTGGGGTTTTCTAGGAATTGAATAAAGTGTTAAGCTCTTAAATGGGACTGATCAGGACACATTTGACAGTAGCATTCAGAAAAACTTGAATATTACAGTTAACAAGCCTAATCTAATAGTGATGTAGAGAAGTCTGCACCCCAGAGAGACTATAGTCTCTTCTAACACAAATGGTGTACTTATATAAATTGACCATAAATGGATTTCAAACGTTGTCCCCAAACAGATATCATACAAGCCCACATTCATTGATTACAATCCATTAATATTAGAAACCAACAATGAAATAAGACCCCAAATCCTTATACCTATGAAACCAAAATCTTTACATCTAGAATTGCTTATAAATAATTCATGGGTTAAAGAGGCAATCAAAATAGAAATTACATTTTAAAACCTGATGAGATGGAGCAGCCAAACTGTACTTAAGAGAAAAAAATTTTAGCCTAAAGTATATTAGAAAAGATTAAAAATAAACAAACCAAGCTTTCAACCCAAGAAGCCAAAAAAAGAACCAAATTAATCCACAAAAGTACAAGGAATTAAAAGATAATGATATATAGGAGCTTGAAGGAGATGGTAAAATTTAAGCAATAAGTAAAGTCTAATAAAAGATAAAACTTTGGAAAACATGGAAGAAAAAAATGTAAGATGGTATAAAGTAATATCAGGAAGGAAAAAAAAGCTACCAGTTAATCTGTTGTTACATGAAGAACTTTTGAGAATTGTTAATTTGCTTAAGAATGACGATATGTTTATTTTTACTTGTTTATCTTTTACAGTTTTATATTAAAATAATTATGAGTAAAATAATTGAGATTTCCTTCTAAATATATGGAGGAGGAAATAGAGATGAAACAAGTATGGTCATGAGCTGATGAGAGTTGTAACTGAATGATGGCAATATTAAGATTACCATATATTCTGTTGTACTTTTGTGTGTGTTTAACATTTTCTATAATAAAAAGCTAAAAGTAATACAGATATTTTAAAGGAAATAAAACAAGCATTTGAAATTATAACTCTATACTAATAAATGTTTAAGCCTAGAAATAAGCATAATCAAATAACATTCCTTAAACACATAGTATGTGCTAGTCTCTGTTCAAAACCATTTACATGTATGAGCTCAAATTTAAGCTCTATTGTCACTATGAGATCTCGGCCACTTACGTTACCTGAATGTGCCTTATTTCTTTAACTTCAAATGGAGATAACAATGGTACCCACACTACAGGAGTACTCTGAGGATTAAGTTGGTACATGTAAATACCTACAAGAGAACCTGACCTAGTAAGAACACAACATGTTAGTGATTACTAAGAACTGAATAAAAGAATGAGTTCTCCAGCTGTTATGGCCCACAAGTCCTGACCAAGGCTACATTTGAACAATAACACACAGATTATTTAATGCAACTTGATTTAAACAAACAAGGCTAGCACCAGAATGAAAAAGTACAAGCCAATCTTATTTATTTGAACATGGATGCAAAAATGTAAATAAAATACTGACTAATAAAACCCAGTATGTCATATTTAAAAAGATTTATCCTGCTAATGTAGAACTGGTTAAGTATCCTAAAATCTATCAGTAAATTCAGAGCATTATTAAAGGAATTTTTTTAATTGATACTGGAAAACACACAAAATAATACCCATTCATGATTCCCTCGCCCCTGCAAAACAAACAAACAAAAAACAACAAGAAAAGCACTTAGCACACAATATAGAAAGCATCCTCTTTAATTTGGTGTTATTTACCAGAAGTGTATATAGCAAGTATTGTTTATTTAATATTGAAAACTTAAAAGCTTGACCATACTTAATCTCAGTGCTAGTATATAAACTAGGCTCTAGCCAATGCAGTAAAAAACAAAAGATTAAGAAGTATAAAAGTTGAAAAGAGGCAAAACCGGCATTATTGACAAACAAAGATGTTGCCAACTACCTAGAGAATCCACAACTATTAGAACTTAATACACAGGGTTCTGTTGTGTGACTGGATATAGGTTCACCACATGAAAATCAATAACTTTCCTATATATCAACTGAAACCAAACAAAATGTCACAAGAGGAGGCCATTCATAGGAGTAATATAAACTGTAAAGTACATAGGAATTAACCTAAGATGAAACTGGCAAAGACTATGAAGAAAACTTTATTATTAAGGAATAGAAATATTATTAAGACTTATTAAGGAATTGAAAGAAAATGTGGGGAGGTACAAAAAAAGGCAAACAGAATAAAGGGCCAAAACAGACTTCACAAACAGACCTGCATATATAAGGATTTAGTATATGGTAAAAGGGCAGCTTGTGTCAATAAGCAAAGGTTAGTCTATTCAATCAAAAATTTAGAAATACCAGGATAACTGTATCCATTGGAAAAGCAGATCAGACCCCTTTCCTTACAGCAAAGCAAGAATAGAATTCAGATGAATTAAACGATTAGATGTAAAAAAGTAAAATTATAAAATATAGGAGAATGTCTTTAAAATACTAGGCTAGAGAAAGCATTCTCAAATAAGATTCCAAAAACCAAAAAAAAAAGACTGATAAACTTGACTACATTTAAACTACACTTCAGTGTAACAAAAATGACCACAAACAGTGTTAAGAGAAATAGATTAGAAAAAAAAGCCAAACTCACTACAAACATTACAAAAGAACTCCTGGCTGGGTTCAGTGGCTCTGCCTATAATCCCAGCACTTTGGGAGGCCAAGGCAGGTGGATTGCCTGAGAACCTGTGGGTTCCATACCAGCCTAGGCAACTTGGTGAGAACTTGTCTCTACAGTAAATAATTAGCTGGGGATGGTACAGTGTGCCTGTAGTTCAGCTACTTGGAAGGCTGAGTCGGAAGGATCGCCAGAGTCCAGCAGGTTGATGCTAGAGTGGCCATGAGCATACCACTGCACTCCAGCCTGGGCGATGGAGTGAGACTCCAACTCAAGAACAACAAAAAAAGAACTCCTATAAACTCATTTGAAAGAGACAAACCTAATAGAAAACTGTCCAAAGTATATTAATTAGGCAATTTAAGAAGAGGAAATACAAAAGGCCAACCTCACTGGTAATCAAGAAAATCAACAGTAAGATAAAATCTTTCATCAGATTGGCTAAAGCATTCAAAGTTTAAATGAGGAGAACCAAGTATTCTCATGCTGGGAAGGGTATGAGCAGGTAACAACCACTTGGGAAAGAAATATGGCAATATCTTTAAAGCAAAAAATAGGCATAGCTGGGACCATAGGTCTTCTACTCATAGTACCTATGCTAATGTGCACAAACAAGCTAAATGTCCATTGATAGGGAAGTGAGTGAATCTGGTATGTATGCAGCAGATGAAACAATGAGCTGAACTGAAATGTAGTGATATACCTAATCTGAAAGGCTGTACCTAAATGTATAACAATTTTTACCTCTGGAGAGGTCACCTCTAAAGTTGGAGTGGTAGGCCAGGTCCAGGGGCTCATGTCTGTAATCCCAGCACTTTTGGGCAATTTGGTGAAACCTTGTCTCTACAATAAATACATAAAAAATCAGTTGGGCACATGGTGCATGCCTGTGGTTCCAGCTACTTGGAAGGCTAAGGCAGAAAGATCACCTGAGCCCAGTAGGCTGAGGCTGTGGTGGCCGACTCCTCACTCAAAGAATAAAAATAAAAGTTGGGGTGGTAAAGGTATTAAAGATATAAGACATATATTTTATCTCATATAAAAATGAATTTATAAACTACATATTTAGTAGTTTTTAAAAGAACAAGGGGCACAGAACATCTGAACTCCAGTCTCATTTCTGCCACCAACCAGCAACACCATCTCGCAAAGTTGATTTACTCCGTCTGATTTCTCATCATGAATCTGTAAACTATGTGCCATCACGGATTCCTATAGAAAATGGAGTTGCCCATGTGTCCTGACAAAGCAGTCTCCTACTTTTCTGAGCCTTTGTGTGTGTGTGTGTGTGTGTGAAGCAAAGAGAACCATATTTGTTTTTCCAAGGATTTTATAGAAGGTGCTCCCATTTGGAAAGTTCTACTTCAGTGCCAAAAATGATTACTTAATATGAAATTTTGGAAACCCTCTGGCTTCGTTTTGAGCCATATATTTCCAATTTTTATTTTCTAAGTCCAATTTAGCTTCTTAGAACTGCTAAAAAAAAGTTTTCAGAGCCCTTCCCACTGGCTGCATATCCAATAACCTACAATTAAGGTTCTCATCACATTTTCCCTATTGAATCACCCAACTCATCCCCAATACCAAATCTTTAGCTCTCCCAAGTCTACTTTTGAAACTCTCATTTCATATTAGATATCAGCCTAAACATGTGATGAACCAATTGGAGAGCCCTAACACTCATAAACAAATTTCACTTCTATGTTGGCTTCCAAATCCCTCCCCATGTACAGCATTTCATTCATTGTTGTCTTCTAGAATAGATTATCAATAAAATCTACTTAGTTTCTGTGAGAGTACATGATGGTAATGAATTACCAATATATTCATTCCCTTTGTAAATCTGAAATTGTTTTTCCCCCCTCCCCCAGGTATGGAGCAGTTTCAGCAGGAATGTTATGTGCCCTTACCACTTTGTCCCAGCAACTGGAGAATGAAAATGCTGTGGATGTTTTCCAGGTTGCAAAAATGATCAATCTTATGAGGCCTGGTGTATTCACAGACATTGTAAGTAGTTTGCTTATGTGTAAAACCAGTACAACATCAGTGGAAACCCAGACTCACACTTTAAAGCTCTACTTATCCACTGGGGTGATTTTGACCCCAGGGGACATTTAGCTATGTCTGGAGAGTTTTTTGCTTATAACAAATGCAGACAGAGTTGCTCTGGCATCTAGAGGTTAGAAGAGAGACAAGAGATCCTTCTGAACAATATACAGTACAGCCTCAACAACACAGAATTATCTGGTCCAAAATGTCAATAGTGCTGAGGTGAAAAATCTTGCTTTAGAGAATAGCATTCTCTAGTTATAAGATACGGATATTTCATTATCTTAATGAACTGTCAACACTAAGAATTGATTCTAAGCTAACAGAAATGAAAAGGACATGAAGAAGGTATAGGTCTTGATTATATAAAAAATTCAAGTGACTTTTTTTAAGTTTCTTAGATAACATTTACACTATTCCTGTTTCTCTAATATGTTTTTCAAAGTTACAATTTTAATTGGCATTTCCACCTTAGATGAAATGACTAAGCTGTTCTTTCGCTCAAACTGTCTTCCTCTTGTTTTTCAGGAACAATACCAGTTTGTCTATAAAGCAATGCTCAGCTTGGTCAGCACTAAAGAAAATGGAAATGGTCCCATGACAGTGGACAAAAATGGTGCTGTTCTCATTGCAGATGAATCAGACCCTGCCGAGAGCATGGAGTCTCTAGTGTGACTGGAATCCTGAAAGGGCACTTAATTTGTAAACTTCTGAAGACTGAGAACTTTTTTGAGGCCTTTTTTGCCAGACTCTAGGTTATACAATAACCCAGTTACTTTTTTACACTGACAAAAGTTTTGATATTTATTTTTTGCCATTTTATGTCTTAATGGTATCCTACTGAGCATTTGCACCTCTGTTCATTTCACACAGTGAAACGCAATTTTACCTAGTTTGCACTATATGATCAGTGTTACTGCCTATAATCTAATACTACAGCAACCCCTGATGTGACATTCCATGACAACATAAATGCTACTTTTTAGTTCAGTACAGTGAAGGTCTTTGTTATGACAGTGAATCTTGATTATTTTATTATTATTCTTGCTAAAGCAGTTGCATTCTACTAGCAGGCAATGCTGTACTTTTCCTCATTCCTCCTCTCCTATTTTTTTTAGGCATTGTTCAATACTTTATGCCTTCTGTATTTTAATGGCGTGGACAAGCATTATTTTCTTTTACAGACTAGCAGGCTATTGGAAGCTGCTAGAAGGTCTTTAATGTCATATCCTTGAAACAGTTCCACTTATGATGGTGAAGAGATCCATTAAGAAGTTAGAAGGCTTAAGAGTTGTTTCATGTGAACATCACTTATTAGTTACAAAGTTATATTCAAACCTTTAAAAAAAGTGTCAAAATAAAGGATAACTCTGTATTACAGCTTTCACAGTAGCTATGTGGACAGTGTGTGTTATTTCTACTGTGACTCTGAAATAGCTACACCCTAAAATCAGGGCTTTCTTTTACAATAGAGAGAAGGCAATATTACACACAACTCAATTTTGAGACCCTTTAGTTACTCTCCATTAATGATTCATGGTAGGTAGAAGAATGAAAAGTTTTGCAGGCATTATTTTGAAACTAGACCTCTGAAAATTCCTTATTTCTTACATAGCAATCTAATAAAAAAACTACCTATATAGTTAAAATTCTTTTCCTTCCTTTCTTGCCAAATGTTTCATAATAAATGTCTTAATTATGTACATTCTTCTACTAAAAACTAAATTAGAAATACTGTATTAGCAAAAGTCTTGGGACTATCTAAACTTCGGCACATAGACAAATCTGGTTTGAAGAATGAAAACTGAAATCTTTAATAGAAGATGATACCTACATTTTCAAGTCATTTTTAAAATCAAGGAGATGGCTTTGTATGCTTTTGTGTAGTTTAGTGTCAAGAACAGATACACTTCAGTAAAAGATGCCAATAATCATTAGAGAGCCCAAGGAAGTTATCTGGTACACTCCCTAAAGCCATATTCCCCCTGCAATACACAATGGGAAAATTAGAAGCATTAATAAGAAATTTTAGTAGAGTTTGTCAGAGAAATAAGCTACTTACTGAGATCTGTTTCTTCTATTGCATGTTTGCTTTTGAGAGACACTTTGTGTCAAAAGTAAAATCATCACCTGAGCCGGGCTTGTTAAGAACAGGATTTTGTTTATTTTTTATGTCAATAAATTTCAACAAAAAGGCCATGCTGGCTGCTCTCAAACTATTTGGGTAGGCAGAGTAGGCACTGAAAATTAATAATGATCAGTACTGAGGTTCTATTTATCTTGGGTTGGCTTTCTATAAAGTCTGTCAGAATGGTGCTGGAAGACCAGAGTTGCTAAGGAGAGAGTTTATGGGCCAAATTCGAGAGATTCAATGCAAAGGCCAGGTCAATAGAGTTTTCATGAACTACATAAAACTTACCAGGGTTAACCTCATCTTTTCATCACATAGGTTTAACACGGCAGTCTGATTTTAAAGAACTGTGTAGGCTTGAACCAAAGTCTACCCACTGAAAAGTCTTGAGAAAAGTTCAAGTGAGCATGCTAAGTTTTATGTGCTAGATGACACACTCCTTTACGGCCCCTCTGTCCCACCAGAGGTGAAACAGGAAGCTCTACCTAACACAAGAATAACTTGAACACAGGAACACTACAACTGCCAGATGCTCAGGGCAATCAGGAAGGGAAAGAGCTAGATTTTTTTGTAGGTCAATTAAGTGGGTTCTTTTAGTTGTGCAGAGTTAGATATGAGCTAACTCTTTTTAGTAGATGGCAAAGTGGGCTTGACATGCAAAAGTAATGTCTGAGTTAGGATTTATGGCCCTTAAGTAATTTTTTTCTTAATAAAAGTAAACATTGATTCAAAAACAAATAGCAAGTATTCCCTTCTGTGCTATTTGCAGAGGACCCAATTCATGGAAATGTATGCTCTCCAATGCAATTCTGTGACTATCTCTTACATGGGTGTCAGAATCATGATAAAACAGTTAGTAAATAGGATAGAAACATAATAAAAATGGTTTAGAAGTTCTCTGTGAGCAGTGTGTGTCTCTAGCAGGCTTGAACCAAAGTCTACCCACTGAATTATGAGCAATTGCTATTTGCCCATCTTGCCAAAGTAGTACAAACATCACTGAGGATGGTATAAACTTCACCAAGGATAATTATATTCAGCAGTTCCTCCCTTTCATCACAGAGTGTATCTTCACTATTATTATTCATATATTATTGGCAAAAATATGCTTGCATCTTTCCAGAGGCAAAAAGTTTCAAAGATAGTGTTTTCTTTGAGACATAAGCACATTGCTTAAGTACACAAAGGTTATTTCCACTTGCACTCGTGGAAAAGAAATAGCTATTGTAAATTAATGTGTGCTATTTTATAAAATAAGCTGTCTGTGTATATGAATTTAACTCTAGGTAAACAGAATGCACACATCATACAAAAATGAATTGCAATGATAAGACCAAGTGGCTGTGCTGGACATCAGAGAAAAGATACTTCATTGCCATCAAGAAAACTCTTTCTTACATCCAATAGCCACCCTATCTTCTTTAATATGAAAAATGTTCAATTCTGAATTTCAAAAAGATTAGTCAATAGGTTTTCCTAATTTTTATGCCTTGGAGCTTTTAGAGTCTGTTTCAAACAGAAGAGTTCAATGAGGTCAAAGAAGGATTGTGTTCAAGATCTGGCTGTTGGAGCTTTTAGCCAAGAGTAACAGTGAAATCAATAAATAACCTTAATTATTTTATAATGACACAGCACAACTGCCTTGTTATGAATTTTTTCTTAAATGCATATATACTGTATTTAAAATTAAAATATAGATACCAATTTACCAAAGATACATATTACTAATTCTAAGCAAAAAATAAAAAACGAAACCCAAACTCATCATAATTTAAGAAAAAAATAAAAATGTAGTCTGTCTTAAGAATTTAGAAGTTATACTGGAAAATGCATTTTCAATTCCTATGCTCTAAAGTTTATGTTCAAATGGTGCCAGTGAATTTTTATATGAAGGAAAAAAAAATGCCTGCTTTTTTTTTTTTTTTAAGAGATGCAATTTCACCTAACCCTTTGCGCTTTCCCTTAGTTGCCATTTAACATGATATTGGCTTTACTTATCTCTAGAAAGAAGGCATGCTACAAATAGGAAGGAATTGTAATAATGATATTTGGCCTCTACTTTGTCTTAGCTGTTAAACTGTTTTTAGTATTTTTGTTAAATATTTGCAAAGGGAAGCATTTTCTACAGAGGATAATTAATTTCAAGAAAAATATCTTGAGTTTTAAGAAATAAACATCTCCAGAAAAGGAGACAGTCAATTTTATAAAATGTCGCAACTCTCCAACATTTGGGGTAGTGACTCCTTTTTTGTTAGGACATTTGAAACTAGCAAGCAGCCATTGTTTCTAAAGAATTCAGCCTTCATGTTGACCCATGTTTCTTTCACTTCATTTTGAAATAGCTAAAATCATTAAAACTGTAAATATTTTGTTGCTTGGGTAAGCATCTTCTGGGAACTTTGTATCTATGGTATATAATCATAGAATTTTATATTTTCATATAAAGCTAATTTTTTTCTAGTTTCAACTCCGTCATGGTTTTTTTGCCTTTTTGTGGTGGATATGTGAATTCAACTTTCTGTGTATTTGAAGTAGCAAGAACCATCTTTGCATTCCAAAAGAATCCAACATGTGTTATTTCTTTGAGGCAGTGATTGTGAAAACTGGGTTTTGTTTTTAATTCCATTGACCATTTGTGCAATAGGAATTAGACATAATTAGTCACTGAATACATGTCACATTGACCCATTTGGAAAAAGTGTGGTTTTTTTTTTAATTATTATTTGTTTTTGGGGGGAGGGGTTTTGTAACCTGAAATTTTTCCCTTTTTTCTTCTGTTTAAAACTATATCAAATCATTCTATTATAGTGTTATTTAATATGTAAATTGTATTGCTATACATAAAATAAAGTATGGTTTTTGATGTATTTAGTATTGTTGAGCATTTCTATGAAAATGTCTATATCCAATAAAATCCAGTTGCTTGTCTCCCTTCACAGATCACATTCATAGCCACCATCCCTCTGTCTTGGTTTTCATGGTACTAAAATGAACATTAATAGTCATCTTTACACAGAAAGCAAACCACAAAGAAATGTCCTTGCTGGGTTGACTTACCAATGTTTTTCCCCCTTTAAAAAGTAAACAATGACAAAATTTTACCTGCATATGGAATCAAACTTTGTGACTCTGCTAAAAAATTATAAACAGAATTACTATTTTCTCCAGTGTACGAACTATATATATAGCTTCTTCCTCTTAATATTTACTACATAGGATGAAGGATATATCCTGGCAAGAGTCTTGGAGACTCTATAAAATATATGTAGGATCAGTACAATTACTTCTACTTAACAAATAATTCTGATACTTCCAAGCCAGTGTATACAAGTCCTGAACTTGGCAGCTTTGGTTCACCATTCTCTTTTAGTGGCTCCCCATCAAGGTGCTCAACTCTTCCAGCCAAGGATTCAGTTTTTCTTTGCATAGAGATAAGAACTGATATCACATTCCCTAAGTAACTAAGAATTAAAAGGCAATCTAGTAATCCCTTCTAGTGGGAATATGTAAAAGAAAGAACAACTCTAGCACAAAGGAATAAATCTCTGCTAATATAACACTAGTCTTCCTCAAGTATACCCATAAGGGCTCTACTACTCCATATCAGAGTATACCAGAGGTCACGAACTGGCGGCCTGTAGATCGTGTTCAGCCCACAGATACATTTTATTTGGCTCATAATTTTTAAAATTCCTATTACTTACCAACATCTTTTAAAAACGAAAACTTCTATATTAAGATTCAGACGTCAAGCTCCTTTCAAAAAGGTGGGTGGTGTTATGGTAGCAGGCTCACATTCTCCCATGGCACTAAGCTGTAGAGGAACAGCACTTGTCCCTCTTGGATGGGGTATGTGTCCAGTTACCAAAGTCTACATCTCTCTCTATCACCTTATGTCTGGCCATATCAGTCACTTAATTCACTTATCTGGATCCTGTGAGCAGCTGCCTCTGGGATATACAATAAGAATTTTGAAACCACCTTCCATCTCAGGCTGGTTAACCAACAACCCAGAGCATCAGTGGTCTTCCACCATTAAAATCCTAGACAACCAGCATGGAGTAAAACGAGTTCTCACATTCCTAACTACCTCTAAGTCTACCCAAGATGATTGGATTAAGCAGCAGTTTATGACTATCCAAAATAATTAACAAATCAATTTTCTACTTCATGGTATTTATTGCCCAAGACATAACCCTAGATGAGGAAGCTTCATTTATGCTACTAAGAATGGCAAAAGAAAACCACAGTACAAAAAGCT